AGATTTCGGCTAGGAAATACAAAAAATACACTCAGAATTGTCAGATTTCGGCTAGGAAATAAGCAGCCCGGATTTTGAGAATATGCCCAATCTTCTCCATGCTTCATTTCCGGTCACATGAACATTAAGAAACCTAAACTCAGTCACTTGTTATCATTTATTTTTTTCGGTCTTGTTTAGCTAAATAAATAATATTTAATTGGCCGAGCACTTTTTGTCAAGTTTTCACTTTTCATCATAATCGACCCGAACTGAAAACAAGCCCGAGATGCAACAAAGAGCAACAAAACAAAACGAGGAGAAAAGTTTGTTTGTTTTAAAGCAAAGTCACATTGGGCTGTCTTCTATGTCCACCGCGGGAAATCAAACCCCGGATTTTAGCGTTGTAAGTCCGTAGACTTGCCGCTGTCCCATCGGGGGCTGACTACCCAATTACGCGATTTATAAGCGGAACTGGCCACCTTGAATAGATGCCGATACTGCACATGCGCAGTGTGTTGTGTACACAACAGTTTTACCTCCCCTTTAATACTCGTATAAGATGAAAAACTGTAGTTATCGTTTTCAATTTTAGTTAACGCTTGTTCAGTTAACTAAGAGTATGTTTTACACATATACTTATCAAGCTGAATCTTTCCCGTTCCCTAGGTGACGATTTTAGACTTTTGTTTGGTTGTTTTAGATTCGTCAGTGTTCTAACGAAAACTATCCAATTAAAACATAGGATACATCATAAACTTTCCCCCTAGTTTCTTTTTCTTTGATCTATAAACATCTGTTTATATGCAATAAGCGATGTGTGAAATGCATTTGTGGCTAGTAATTTAGTGACTCGGCAGATACCTTTTGTCGCTGATGACGTCACATTATCACGGAACTTAACTATCGTGTTTATATACAGCTCACTGATGTAGACTTTAGTCAGTTCAGTGTTTTCCTGTCGTTTCGTCTGTTGGTGTTATTAGATACACAACTGAAATATATCTAGCAATACACTAGTTTTTGTTGTGGTTATTATTTTTTTATATTATTTTCGTGACATGCTAATATTTATGGTATTAAATGCCCTCTTCCTTCAATACTTAGAACTAATTTTCTCGCTTTCGTTCATTTGTCCCCATCTCTACCGACTTGAATTTACTAGGCAGAAAATTCATGCGTCATCACGTGTTGCTAAAACGTTATCATGATTTTTGTTGACTTATTGAAGCTAGTTGTGAAATACAACAATTGAAAAAAATTATATTTATAAAGCTCTGTTTCATCGTGTAAAGTTAACGATTACAGAATGACGTACGAGACAAAACATTATCTCTTAGTCTCACGTGACAAGTTTTCTTGCTACATCATTCATTCCCAAGTACATGCAGGCTGGGCTTTATTGGCAATATATAAACTATAATTACTGTCTCAACATTTGCATTCCGATAAACAAAATTATTATTTTATTTGCCTTTTTTGATATCTATAGTTTGTTTATTCTTTCTGTGCTATTCTGAACATTCGTCTAAATACAATACGGATGCAATTATTGTTAATATTATTATATTAATTATATTATTTGGTCTACTGTGTCTTTAATCGTGCTCAGAATAAATTTGATCTATTAAATTTGTTTGTTTGTTTGAATTTATGCACAAAGCTACACAATGAGCTATCTGTGCTCTGCTCACCACGGGTATCGAAACCCGGTTTCTAGCGTTGTAAGTCCGCAGAATTAAATCCAATGAGCTAAGTTCAACCAATTAATTGTGCTGAATCATTTACCGTCATTGGTTTAAATTTACTGTTAGCGTGACTTCGTTTGAGGAAGGTAAAAGTTTCGTTCGCTTCACGTACCTTATCCTAGATTACCAACCATTGAAGGCTTAACACGAAGCCACTTAAACGCTATCTGGGAAATACAGAATATAAATAAATAAAACGCCATACGTGGCCTGTTTTGAGCTGTAAACACATATACGGCTAAGCTTATGTCGGCTGACAAAAGTCATACTGTAACTAAGAGCTGTAGTTTCGAGCAGTATTAGTCCTCATCGGCTCAGTCAGGTCGATAATACTATTTATATAAAAGATAGATTCGTAAGCACAAACTAGGAAATTTATCTAGAAAACATTTCAACCTTTAGACCAAGATTATGCAAATCTAAACAAATTGATCAAATTTAAACACTGACATATTTTGTGTGTGTGTGTGAAGTTTAAAATAAATTGTCATGGAGGGGGAGGGGAAGAGTCTGCATCTCGTTATGCTAGAATATATTCACCTAAACTAATTATTGGAACAATTAAGCAGAAATGCAGGTTTTTAAGCTAATTATACTTGTAATGTTGGATCGGTATGTCCTCCGATAACTGAGCGGTAATTCTGAGGACTGACAACGCTCAAAAGTGGGTCTCGATACCCGCAGAGGGCAGATCTAATATAGTCTATTGTGAAGCTTAACAACGAAATAAATCATATGATTATATTATACGAAATTAGCACCTGTTGCTCGTCATTGAAAACCATGTACCATTAGAAATGCAGACATTTTTTTAATATTTTATATATATATATCTGGAGTGTGAAAGTCGTTTTTTTCTAAACTTTTTATCAAAATGTGTAAATCTCACCAGTATGCACAACAAATTTTGAAAGACAACAGAAAATGTCGATCTGAATGACTAACGCCCTTATTTTTGGTTATTCATAACTTACGGAAACGAGTAGACTTTTAAACTGATCTGTACTGTCAATGTATGATAAGAATGGGACCTGCGAATATAATCTTTACTGTAATGAAAACACGTGTTAATGTCAGTAGTATATTCCATACTTCCCAACGTGACTGATCTCGTCGAAATAGTCCTAACATTTGATAATGTTATCACCTGACTTTGGAACATGGATAATAGATAAGAGATAACTTATTCAGATACGTAGGTGCACACATCTTACCAATGTATAATGTTTGTTCAATGATTTGTATTTTTTTAAACAGATACCATACGGCACAGACACATATGGAAAATAACTCGAATAAGATGTTACCCCTATGTATAATGTTACACTAACTTCACGCTTTTAGTTTTAAAGGTGATCTTCGAGATTCATTAATAACTTTTATTACATATCTGTGTGTGCAGTCGCGCACGCGAAATCTAAGCATGGGTCGTTTAGCGAGTTACAAAAATTAACAAGCATGTTAACAGCAGAAATTCTTATAAAAAGTTATATTCACGAGAAATGGCAATACTTTTGATGCCACCAATGAAGTTGTTGGCCTTTTAGCGCAAAACTACACAATGGGGTATCTGTGCTCTGCCCACCACGGGATCGAACCCCGGGTTATTGTACTGGAAGCCCAGAAACTTATCAATGTTAGTCAAGCCTGACTAGTATACTCTAACGTAAAATTGGAAGTACATTTAAAAAAAAATCTAAATCATGAACAGGACAAAATATCGCTTCAGGACGAGAAAAAAAGTAAATCATGAACATGTAATAAAACACTTAAGGACGAGAAAAAAGTAAATCATGAACATGTAACAAAATATCACTTCAGGACGAGAAAAAACTAAATCATGAACATGTAACAAAATATCACTTCAGGACGAGAAAAAAAGTAAATCATGAACAAGTGACAAAATATCACTTCAGGACGAGAAAAAAATCTAAATCATGAACATGTAACGAAATATCACTTCAGAACGATAGAAGTAAAATGAGTTTTGCTCAAACAAACCACCTCTTTAAAAATGATAGGTAAATATGACTATAATTTTATACAGTAAAGTAAGTATACAGCGGTAAGTCAACGGACTTACAATGCTAAAATCCGGTGTTCGATTCCCCGAGGTGGACACAGCAGATAGCACAATGTGGCTTTGCGTACTGAAACATTATAGTATGGACACTAATATGGCAATAGCAATGATAAGGCGCTGCACTTCTTAATTAATAAGCTAAGTACTTATACAGAGACACTACCCCCCCCCCCCCACGTAGCACAGCACGGGATCACTGGATATTAACAAACAAACAGACAGAGACATTAACATCATAGAACGGGATCACTGGAGATTAAGAAACAGACAGAGACACTTACACCATAGAACGGGATCACTGGAGATTAACAAACAAACAGACAGAGACACTTACATCATAGAACGGGATCACTGGATATTAACAAACAAACAGACAGAGACATTAACATCATAGAACGGGATCACTGGAGATTAAGAAACAGACAGGGACACTAACATCATAGAACGCGATCACTGGAGATTAACAAACAAACAGACAGAGACACTTACACCATAGAACGCGATCACTGGAGATTAACAAACAAACAGACAGAGACACTTACATCATAGAACGGGATTACTAGAGATTAACAAACAAACAGACAGGGACACTTACATCATAGAACGGGATCACTGGAGATTAACAACATCATAGAACGGGATCACTGGAGATTAAGAAACAGACAGAGACACTTACACCATAGAACGGGATCACTGGAGATTAACAAACAAACAGACAGAGACACTTACATCACAGAACGGGATCACTGGAGATTAACAAACAAACAGACAGAGACACTTACATCATAGAACGGGATTACTAGAGATTAACAAACAAACAGACAGAGACACTTACATCATAGAACGGGATCACTAGAGATTAAGAAACAAACAGACAGAGACACTAACATCATAGAACGGGATCACTGGAGATTAAGAAACAAACAGACAGAGACACTAACATCATAGAATGGGATCACTGGAGATTAACAAACAAAGAGCCAGAGACACTAACATCATAGAACGGGATCACTGGATATTAACAAACAAACAGACAGGGACACTTACATCATAGAACGGGATCACTGGAGATTAACAAACAAAGAGCCAGAGACACTAACATCATAGCGTGGATTACTGGAGATTAACAAACAAACAGACAGAGACACTTACATCATAGAACGGGATCACTGGAGATTGGTCTAACTCACCTCACCTCCATGCCCGTCAAATATACCATAAAGGGCAACGTCATGTGTTTCGTCAATTATTAAACCGAAACGATCTTCCATCTGGGGTCTCCTTCCTTGAAGTGCATATATACTGACGTTCTCTTCCTTCCGTTCCCATGATCGAAAGTCATGCTTACCTGATGGCATTGAAAATAAACCCAACCCTTCAGTAAGGCTGCTCGAATAATGAAATCGGTGTATAACAGATTTGTACCACACATGTAGCGACTGTGAAAACAGGTACAGCGCCACAGTAAACAAGCAAAGCGCCAAACTTTCAGGTTTAAGAACATAACACTGAATGAATCCTGTGACACAAGACATTTCGGGCAATGGGTGACAATTTAAGACAGTAGGATAAAATACTATGTTACAAATATTCGACGCCCTGGCCACACCACATCCTGCAGTGAAAGGAAAACAACCGTTTAGTAAAGAAGAAACTCGACCACAGTCAGCAAAGAAAGACGCAGGGGCGGTTATCCAAGAAGTTTGACGCATGCGTAGTATCCAGTGTTGCACATGGCATGATTATATTATAAGGACCAGCAGTGCCTGACACAGCATAATACTCGTAATTTACGCCATATAGACCGTGGTCTATTTAAATTGTATTTGCGTTGCGTTAAGAAATAATGAATATATTGATCACGTCATTTCATCATATAGAAGTCCAGAGATACAGCTTTTGAGTGGATTGTTTAATTTTTATCTTTTGTCTACGTTAATTACAACGTTTCGACCACTCGTCTGGCTATCATCAGATAACTGTCGTCTATTGTGTGAAATAGTAAAGAAATACTGCTCCAAATTAGAAAACATATAGAGTGACACCCTGTGTTTTGATTTAAATTAGGTTTTGGTTCACGAATAATTAAATTTTATTCAGAACACAGGTGTCACCTTATATGTTTTCCAAATTGGAACAAAATGCTCGCTTTTTTTGTTTGTTTGTTTGAATTTATGTACAAAGCTACACAATGAGCTATCTGTGCTCTGCCCACCACGGGTATCGAAACCCGGTTTCTAGCGTTGTAAGTCCGCAGATATACCGCTGTGGTACTGTGGGGGCGGGGGGAGCATAAATGCTCGCGCAGTATTTCTTTACTATTTCACACAATAAACGACAATTACCTGATAACGGTTTGTTTGTGTGTGTTTCTTTGTAGTTAAACAAAAAGCCACACAATGGGCTATCTGTCCTTTGCCCACCACGGGTATTGAAACCCGGTTTCTAGCGTTGTAAGTCCGCAGACATACCGCTGTGGTACTGGGGTGGGGGGAACCTGCTAATGGCCCCGCGAGTGTTCAAAACGTTGTCATTAAGTTAAGGAGAAAATAAAATTCAACAATCCACTCACAAGCTGTATTTCTGGACTTTTATTTAAAACGTATAGGGGATTTCTTTTCCACGCAACAAGTATCAATTTATCACGTTAATATAAAAAAGTTATGCAGGCATAAATCGTAAATAACTATGTTTCTGTCTTGTTAGGCGTAATATGCTGTAAAAATAGAATTTGCGGTATTAGCATTATCTGTAATTATGCGGGAAGTGTGTGTGCATTGTCGATAAGATGAGAGGATTTGTTTCAGCCATCTCAGCATTATGATAATGTAAAGAAGATACAACTAAAACTTAACATTGTGAACGTGCACATTGTTTGACTATTATTATCAGTACTTTAAACCGTGTAATTATTAACAATAATATCACCAAGTAAGTATTGTTTTAAAATTAAGCATAGTTTACGTAGAGCAGTTAGTAACAACAGTGCTTCGTTTAGATATCTTTGTTTATTATATCAGTGTTTTTCCAGTAATATAGTAATACCAACACTGTTGCTTATAAAAGCATATATAAAAACCAATACTTCATTTCTCACAACATTTACGTCGATGTGAATGTAATTTACTCATTAGTTTGTTTGTAGTTAAACACAAAGCTGCACAATGGGCTATCAGTGCTCTTCTAACCACGGGTATCGAAACCCGATTTCTAGCGTTGTAAGTCCACGGACATTCCGCTGTGCCACTGGGGGGGGGGGTGCATATTAATTGGTGGTTTGACGTGAGGGCCGCTTGGAATAAATTTTATGCTAAATTAATCTTATAAACAAAGTCTTGTGCATAGGTGGGGGAGGGGAGATTGCACCCCTACATTTCAGTCATATGTATATATATATGTGTGTGTGTGTGTGTGTGTATGTGTGTGTACTAAACATATATTACAGCAAATGGATCTGAATAAAACTTGTGCTGAAAAATGTTTTTGACCGCACAGGGGCTCGTACTTTTTATATATATGTTTCTCTCTACGTCCCGGTAACGCTTGCACCTGCCAGGATTCTGACTTTGGAGTCTAACGCGGATTGTATTTCGATCTGTTTACTGAAATGTCGCGTGGCTTTAGGGTAGTAAGTTAATCTAACTCTAGCACAGTGAGGTGATGATGATGCATGTATCTAACTTACATTAGCGACCTAATGAATCGTGTGAACTCCACCGTTCCATGTATTATGTTACATGACGTGAAAAGCGTTCGAAAAATTATTGAAACTAATAAATGCGCATCATATCAGAAACTTAGTTTCTTATAAAGTTTTAGCTACGTTGCGGCCACACATCTATCTCCAGACTTGGTTAATAAAAATATACGTACAGAGAACGTTTAGAACCTTGGAATATATATATATGTATGGTAGAATTCAGGTAGCGTAGTATGGGTTGCCGAAAATGTCAAGTTTACTTTCGAATATACTCTACCTGGTGAGCACTTGCAATTTCTAGACACTTCTGTGGCTGTATTGAGTGGAGCCCCTAGTGGCACAGCTGTATGTCTGCGGACTTACAACGCTAGAACCCAGGTTTCGATACCCGTGATGGGCAGAGCACAGATAGCCCATTGTGTAGCTTTGTGCTTAACTGCAAACAAACAAACAGTTTGTAGGGCTAGGAGTTTTAGCCAGTTAACGAGACTTTCGCGAAGTTGTAACAGTCCTGGTGATTTAATATACGCCACGGTGGATCTCCCGTAGATTTTAAAGATGGGCGAATGGTTATCCTGAAAGATTGGTTAACAAAATTTTCGCCAAGTAAAAAAGAAGAAAGAAAAGGAGCCAGGAAGAAAATATTGTATTATTAACACCTTTTATTTGTCTTAGGGTTAATAACATCATTAAAAATACTGTGAGTGAATGTGAGGGTTTACCTACAGGTGTGTGATCGAAAAGCCTGAACGTTCGCTTAAAATCTCATTTAGTGACGCTCGGCATCTAAACCTAGCGATCATTACCAGAAGAACAACATTAACTGGGACTTCTGAAGAAACATATGGAAAAAGATAGCGCTTGCAGCATCTCTTGTGGGATTTGTAACGAAAAATATATTGGAAAAACTGAAAGACCCGTAAAAGAACGTTGCATGGTACATCTAGATACTACACCAATAAAGGGCAGTTGCAGCAAATTTTATTAATAAGCACATTGTGCTTAAATCCGAATAATCACATTGTGCCTAAATCCGATCACATTTTTAGTATTAAAACAAAAAGAAAACGCCATGGTTATAAAGAATCTCTTCTTATCAGACGTTAGAAGCTTTCAGTCAACAGGAATAGAGGGTTGTCACTTAAAGAAAACGCCATGGTTATAAAGAATCTCTTCTTATCAGACGTTAGAAGCTTTCAGTCAACAGGAATAGAGGGTTGTCACTTAAAGAAAACGCCATGGTTATAAAGAATCTCTTCTTATCAGATGTTAGAAGCTTTCAGTCAACAGGAATAGAGGGTTGTCACTTTAAAATGGTGGATTTATGTATCTGTATATATATATCTGAACGTTTTAACCTTTTGCTTTATTTCTTTTATAATAACGTATTTATGTGGTTTTAACTACCACTATTGTTTTAAAAGTTTAGATAAACGACCTTTACACTCCAGATGTAAATATATTTGTTTGTTTTTTATTACTACCAACGTTTCGCTTTTCTTCAGGGTTAATACATACAAACTGTTTGATATTGAAGTATACGTTAATTTATAAAATTGACTGTGATGTTCCATCTCTCGAGTCTGTTTGTTTTTTTTTTAATTTCGCGCAAAGCTACACGAGGGCTGTCTGCGCTAGCCGTCCCTAATTTAGTGTACGACTAGAGGGAAGGCAGCTAGTCATCACCACCCACCTGTAGGTTACGTATACATGTAATTCGGGAGGTGTCTGATGTGAGTTTCCTTTAGGCTACGTATATATGTAATTCGGGAGGTGTCTGAAGTGGAGTTTCCTTTAGGTTACGTATACATGTAATTCGGGAGGTGTCTGAAGTGGGGTTTCCTTTAGGTTACGTATATATGTAATTCTGGAGCTGTCTGATGTGAGTTTCCTTTAGGCTACGTATATATGTAATTCGGGAGGTGTCTGATGTGGGTTTCCTTTAGGCTACGTATACATGTAATTCGGGAGGTGTCTGATGTGGGTTTCTTGTAGGTAACGTATACATGTAATTCGGGAGATGTTTGATGTGGGTTTCCTTTAGGCTACGTATACATGTAATTCGGGAGATGTTTGATGTGGGTTTCCTTTAGGCTACGTATACATGTAATTCCGGAGGTGTCTGATGTGGGTTTCTTGTAAGTTACGTATACATGTAATTCGGGAGGTGTCTGATGTGGGGTTCCTTTAGGCTACGTATACATGTAATTCGGGAGGTGTCTGATGTGGGTTTCTTGTAGGTTACGTATACATGTAATTCGGGAGATGTCTCATGTGGAGTTTCCGTCAGATAGTTCTTAGATATTGCACTGATGGACTAAGGCTTACCCAATAATCTCCTTCTGGCACCCACCTGATCAGTAGTGCTAAAACCCATCAGGTGTGGAAGGGCTCTGGGCGTTCTACCGCATTATTTAGCCCTACACTCCTTTGTAGCTATGAAAAGTTCGAATAAATACATTCAAGGCAGGTTGTAGGGCCCTTGGGCAGTCTGTTATAACGTGGGCTAGTCCTCAGACATATCGCTGAGCCACTGGGAAGGGGGGGGGGGTACTGGAAGCAATTCAAAGTTTTAAAAAAAACATGGAAAACATTGCAGCAAAGACGATATTCCAGCAGGATTTTCGAAGGAAATGGGTATTTTATAACTACGATTTGTAACTCAAGTGACAGAGAATGGACAATACCAATAGACTTTATAAGAAGTGGTTTTATATTTATCTTCAAGAAACTTAAGGTTATGAAGTGTGGACAAATACAGGAAAATTAGCTTGAGCAGTCACACCTCAAGAAATATTGCTAAAATTAATTCCTAATAGAATTAAATATAATGTTGAGAATAAGCTGCCACTGGGAAAATCAAAACAGCTCTTAGAAAAGGTCACGGCATGCAAAAAAAGCAAATTCAGCCTTAGGGTATTAGGCGAGAAAGCCATAGAAGCGCAAAGAAATCTATGTATACTTTACAAGAAGCTTGATAAC